AGCTCAAGGCTAGCGCTCTACCACTTGAGCCACAGTGCCACTTCCAGCTTTTTTCTTTTTGCTTATGTGGTGCTGAGGAATCAAACCCAGGGCCTTAGGCAAGGCAAGCACTCTACCACTGAGCCACCTTCCCAGCCCCATCCTGGAAACTCTTTTTATCTCCAGTCTATCACCAAAAAATAAAAGTAAAAAAAAAAAAAAATGCTGGAGTTAGAGTGTAGCTCAAGTAGTAGAACATATCCTTGAGCAAAAAAGCTCAAGGGCAGCACCCAAGTCCTGAGTTCAAGCCCAGGACTAGCAGCACAAAAGAAATTTCTTTTAAAAATTTTATAAAATGCAGTTACTATTGCTTTCCAGTTCTAGAATGTGACTTACCTCATGTTAAAAAGAATAGAAACATAACTTAAGGATATTTGAAAGTATGTATGGTATCTTATTTTTGATATGTCAATGAGACCTCTAAAATGTTTAAATAGTTCTGCTCTATAAAGATTCATAGTGTTGGCCAGGCACCGAGGTTCACACCTATAATCCTAGTTACTCAGGAGGCCGAGATCTGAAGATCAATGGTTCAAAGCCCAGTTAACTACCAGAAAACAAGAAGTGGTGCTGTGGCCAAAGTAATAGAGTGCTAACTTTGGAAACAAAAACTAAGGGACAGAACCCAAGCCCTGAGTTCAAGCTCTATGACTGAAAAAAATAAATAGATAAATAAATATGCACAATGTTGGCAAGTTCGATTGTTTTATCTTAGATATCAAATAATCTATTTAAATTAGAAAAGCTGCAATGTATATTTATTCACATATTATATATTGTTATATTTTTAATATATTATTTCCTATGTCCTTTGAAGTAGGTGCATCTGCTTTCCACATTAAACTGAAAATCCTTGTGAAGCAGAGGTTTATTGTCTTTGTCTTTTTTTTTTTTGTCAGTCATGAGGCTTGAACTCTGGGCTTTGGTGCTGTTCCTGAGCTCTTCAGACTCAAGGGGAGCACTGTACCACTTGAGCCACAGCGCCACTTCCAGTTTTCTGGTGATTAATTGGAGAGAAGAGTCTCACGGACTTTCCTGCCCCAGGAAAGTTTTGAACTGCAATCCTCAGATCTCAGCCTCCTAAATAGCTAGGATTACAGGCGTGAGTCACTGGTGCCCAGCTTTGTCTTTCTCTTCTTTATCCCAAGTCAGGGCTAGCACACATTTACTAATGTATTGGGCAGTAACAGATAGGGGCTACTAAACTGCAATGGGAAAGCATGAGTATTTTCCTATGCCACCAGCCTGGAATTGTCTATACTGATCATCATGGAAACTAGTCAGTACTGGAAGGACAAAGTAAGGAGCTGACCAAATTCCTGTTTCTTGCTGGGAGCTACCAGTGTCCTGGAGGAGCAAAGACAAACATATGAGAAATCATTTGGGAATGATACAAACTACCATGCTTCATGATAACCAACAGTTTAGGCTGGCAGAGATGCTCATTTCCCACTGAAGCTCTTCCCCTTGAGTTGTGACCCACAGTTTGCCCAGGGACTGTTTTTGGTTTTTTCCTTTCCCCTGGGCTTGAACTCAGAGCCTGGGCGCTATCCCTGAGCTTTTTCAGTTCAAAGTTAATGCTTTAGTTACCACTTGAGCCACAGCTCAGCTTTCCGCTTTTTTTTTTTGGTGATTAATTGGAGATTAAGAGTCTCGTGAATTTGGGAAAGGTGGCTTTGAACCAGGATCCTCAGATCTCAGCCTCCTGAGTAGCGAGGATTACAGGCATGAGCCACTGGTGCAGGGCTTGCCCAGGGACTGTTTTACTGATCTAGAACTTTGGATAGAAGTATAACCTTTTGTCCTCATGATCCTTGAATATCAAGACAAATATTTCTCTTTATTTCTCTTTCCCTCTAGGATGTCAAAAGTACCCTGGAAAAGTAAGTGATTTGTATGTCACTTTGAGTGAGTTTAAGTTTTGGGTTAAGGGATCAAGAAATGAGTTGGGAGGAGAAAGAATGAGATGGTCATGCAAGATCTGGGAAGAATGTGAGGAAAGAGTCATTGCATGCAGGAAGCACAATTCCCTAGGTGTAACAACCACTGGCCTTTTCCCCTTGGAGCATGAGAACATGGTTGGTAATGTAAGGTAAATCAAATAGGTAGGTTTAATTAGTAGCCAATTAAGAGAACTCCACGTAGTATTCAGGCAAGAAGATTAGTTTATTTTTTACCAAACTGCTGCCCCACCACACATGGTGGAGAAGCATCGTCAGAAGGGGGGAGCTGAGTTCTGGCCTGGGTTTAAATAGGGAAGGGGGTTGAGGAGAAGGTGTGTGCACCAGATACAGGTACCTCAGGGCCTGGGACCCTCCCATAGTCTGATGGGAGGCTGACCTATGATGAAGCTGCCTAGGACATGACCTCGGAGGAGGAGCAGGGAGGAGGAGGGGATTGCCTCCTGGTGTGCCAGTTACTTAGGTGACAGAGGTACTGGGTGGAGATTTAGCCAAGAGGGAGGAGTCTGCTTCCCCTTCCCAGGGCTGACCTTACAGGTATAGGAAATGATAATGTAGAACCAGATTCTATTTGTGCTCTGGTTGGATTCTTTCCAAACAAGATGTCAGGAGGAAAGGGCTGAGAGAACCAGAAAGATGATTATTAATTTGCATGAAGTACAAGAATGCCCCTAAGAAGTTCTGAGGCTCATTCTCAACATAAGGAACTGTCTAGGGTACCATATAGCTCTCTACAGATAACAAAAGAAAGCAATTGACATCAAGGAGGAGGGAGAAAGTGGGAAGATAGAAAATTTCAGTTTTTCCCTAAAGATGACAACATATTTACTTGACTTAAGCTTCCTCTGATCCTGTCTTTTCTCCTACCTCCGTGTCTCTCCTAGATGTGAGAAGGTAAAGACCATGGCGGTGACTTCAGTATCCATAGAGCTGAAAAAGAACTTCAGCCATTTTCCCCGACAGTACTTTGCCCTAAGGAAAATCCTTAAACAGCTAATTGGTAAGTTGTTCCCAAAAAGAAACTAGCAGAGAAAAGGAAGTTTTTAGGTCCTACCTATGGGCTCTTAATTTCTTCCTACTCCCACACTAATTACCTAGCTTTCAGTCTCACCCTGAGTCACAGTGATAAACCTTAGATGTCATCTATTTTAACTTAACATCCACACCTTTTAAATAGGGACCCAGAAAGGTAGAACCTTTGTGGCTTAGGTGAGAATTTACCTACGTCATAAGATAGAGTGACCATATAATTTATTACCTTAGCTGGTACAAATCTTGAGAATGAAAAAGAATGTCATTATTATTAATACATATGCAGGGAAAGCATATTCTTCTCCCCCCCCCCACATGCTTCTTTTTCTATTTATTTGTTTATGTTTTAGTGTCATAATGAGATTTCAGCTCAGGGCTTTTTGCTTACTAGGCCAGTACTCTACCACTTGAGCCTCAGCCCTCATATTTTTTGGTCAGTCATGGGGCTGAACTCAGGGCCTGAGCTCTTTTTGCTCTAGGTTTTGAGCCACAGTGCCACTTCCAGTTTTTGGTGGTTAATTGGAGATAAGTGTCTTCCCTTT